CCGGCGGGGGGGGCCCCCCCGGGGGGGCCCCCCAGGGTCCCCCCAGGGGGCCCCCTTGGGGGCCCCCAGGGGGGCCCCCTTAGGGGCCCCCAGGGGGGCCCCTGGGGAATCCCCTGGGGAAGCCCCTGCGGCTACCCCCGGTGGGGTCCCCAAGGGGGGCCCCCCAGGGGGGCCCCCCGGGGGGCCCCCAGGGGGGCCCCCAGGGGGGCCCCTTGGGGTAGTGGTTGGAGGATTTGAAGGGCCTTTGAGTGCATTTGTGTGGAGCTCTCGCGCGGCCTTTTTGCTGCAGAGGTCTTTGAGGGCTGGGGGTGGGGCCTCGGGGGCCCTAAGGGGGGCCCTAGCCCCTTCTTTGGTGGCAGCAGCACTTTTTGACTTTGCTGCAGTGCTGCAGCAGCTCGAGGTAAACCCTAAACCCTAGCCCTAAACCCTAGCCTAACCCTAGAGCCGCGGCGGAGCTGCGCGGGGCGGTGTTGAGGGCGCTGCGCGCCTTGCTGCGCCCGGGTCGAGGGTTTAGGGTTTAGGGTTTAGGGTTTAGGGTTAAGGGTTTGGGGGTGCGCGCAGCTGCTGCCCGAGGGCTTCAGCTGCTTCTCTCTCGAGGCCAAAACCCTCGAGTCTCTGCTGCAGGCAGCAGATGTGGGGTCTGCTGCAGCAGCAGCAAAAAGGCAGCTGCAGACAGACTTGGGAGATTTGCTGCCGGGCCAGCAAGCCAGGATCCTGCTGCTGCCCCAGGTCCCTGCTGCTGCTGCTGCTGCTGCTGCTGGTCCAGGGGGCGGCGCGGCTGCAGCAGTTGAGCCCGGCGCTGCAGCAGCAAGCGGCGCGCAGCCAGGGCCCGCAGCAGCTGCTGCAGCAGACACGCAGAGTGCAGCAGCACCAGCTGCAGCAGCAGCAGCAGCAGCAGATAGCAGCACGGCCTATTTGCTGCTGCGCTACTCAGCAAATGATTCAAGCGTCATCGACCTCGCCTTCCTCCTGCCAAATCCTTCCTGGAGTGAGGGTTTAGGGTTTAGCTGTTGGTCTTTAGGGTTTACGGTTTAGCTCTTGGGCATCAGGGTTTAGGGTTCAGGGCCTAGGGTTTACCCCTTGGCCTTGAGGGTTTAGGGTTTAGGGTTTACGGCTTAATTTTAGGGTTCAAGCGAGTTTAATGAGAGGGCGCTCTCAACGAAGGACTGCAGCCTGACGGTTCCGTATTCTAGGGTTTAGGGTTTAGGGTTAGGGGTTTAGGGTTTAGGGTTTGCGCTGCAGTGACAATTCGGGATAAGACTCTGCTGCTGCTGGAGCTGGGCCTCCGTCTGGCGGTTTTGGGTCGGGTGGAGGTTTTCGACGCCGTCAACAGTCAGCGCTAAACCCTAAACCCTAAACCCTAAACCCTAATTCCTGAGCAGTGGCAGAGCAGTAGCATTTGCGCATGAGGCTTTGCTGCCGTTTGGTCTTTCCACTTCACACGCAGGCCCAGCAAGACCCCTGGGGTGACCACTAAATTTAAGGGTTTAGGGTTTAGGGTTTAGGGTTTAGGGTTTAGGGTTTGGGCGTTCCTGCTAGGCATGGCCTGCGAGACCTACGGGGTGGAGTTCACCCTCACGGGGGCCCCCGGGGTCCGCCGCAAGTACCAGCAGCAGCTGCTGCCGCAGATGGGTGTTG